AGATAATGCTATGGAACCAAAAGCTGCAGGCAGTAACTACGAAAGAAATGTTAGTAAGGTAGTGATTGGTGAGAAAACATCGTGAAAACAAGAAAGAAAGCAAACTTCGGCAAGCCGAAGTTCATATACCCTTGCAGCTATCGCAAGAACTAAATATTTTTGAAAACATTAAAATTATGATTTACTTGCGTATATGTTTAAAAACATTGAAGCTATGACGATTTGCAGCTTAATTATTTGATTGTTCTTTTATATATTTTTATTATTTGTATGGGAGCTATATGATATAGACGTCCGATTTTGATGAAATTTAAATCATAATTCTGAAATATTTAACCATTGCTGTATGTCGAAGAACTAAAAAAAAAATTAAAAAACAGCAAAGTTATAATTTTTTTCAATTATTTTTCCGATTGTTCCTATGGGAGATATATGCTATAGTCGTCCGATTTTGATGAAATTTTAACCATAATTCTGAAATATTTAACCATTGCTTTATGTCGAAGAACAAAACAAAAAATTAAAAAACAGCAAAGTTATAATTTTTTTTCAATTATTTTTCCGATTGTTCCTATGGGAGCTATATGCTATAGTCGTCCGATCCGGCTCGTTCCGACTTATATACTACCTGCAATAGAAAGACAACTTTTGGGAAAGTTTCATGCAGATAGCTTTAAAACTGAGAGACTAGTTTGCATATAAACGGACGGACAGACTGACAGACGGACAGACGGACAGACGGACGGACAGACGGACAGACGGACATGGCTGGATCGACTCTACTAGTGATGCTGATCAAGAATATATATACTTTATAGGGTCGGAAACGTCTCCTTCACTGCGTTGCAAACTTCTGACTGAAATTATAATACCCTCTGCAAGGGTATAAAAAGGAGTCTTATTGACAACAAATTTTTTTTTTTCTTACAAATTAGTAGGTAAAGTAAAAATAGAGATGAAACTGAATATTTATTTATATTTGCTTTGAGTTTTAATTAATATTTAACATTTGATTTGTATAATTTAAGTTTCAATTTTAAGACTTATTGACAAAAAAATATTTTAATTTCTTGAAAATAATATAAGTATATGGCTAACAGCTTTGGAAATTAAAGATGAAAGTCAGCAATCAGTTTCATATTGGTTTATATTTAATTTAGTTTTAAAACAATATTTTATATAAAGTCTGATTTCTGGTCCTCATTGAAAGCTAGTTGATAATACAAAAAAAAAAGCCCCAATAAAATATAAATACAACTTAAGCGAGGTATAAGTTTCGAATAAAACTTATTGAGCTGTAACCAGTAATCCAAGTAGAATGAAAAGCTGTCCAAAGATGGATAAAGTTAAAAGAAAACACAAACTCTGGGCAAAGCGTAGCTAAGGATCACTTAACCTATTTGAAGGCACTACCAAACAGCAAATTTAATTACTTAAGCTCATTAAGGCTCATTACCCTCAAGTTCGACTGCTGAAGCATTTTAGTAGTTGAATTGGCTGCAGCTTGCAGGTGAACGATATGGCACACAGGCAGGGAGATAAACACCCAGCCGAACAACCACCGGGTTAACCCACAAGGCTGGGCAAGGCAAAGCAAGGCTTAACCCCCCGCGTGTTCCCTTCTGGGCTTTCCCTTCAACGATTTTCCCTTTTCCCTCCGCCCAAAACTCTCCCATTCTCTAGCTTTCTAAACTTTCGCACAAAAGGAAGCAAACCCTCAAATGGATCTCCATGGTTCCCGGGTCCCTTAACCCCCTACTGCCCGCCTTCACGGCTCCTTTAACCCCATACTGCCCCCCTCCCTCCCTGTGGACTGCAACTTTTTGACTTTGTGTGCGCCTTTTGCGGCTGTTGTAGCTGCGAAAATTTATGGCCAATTCAATAAACGATTTTATTACATGCGCACGTTGTGTTAACAATGTTATTATTATTGGCGCCCAGTTCCGAAAAAGGGTTGCCGAACGGAAAGGAAAATCCCGAATGGAAAGCCCCGGGCAATGCAGTGAATTGGTTCCTGGACGGCGATGGCGATGGCGACGGCGAACGGGTTAAGCGAAGCCAATTATTATGAAAATTAATTTATTTTCTATCGGTAATATGAGGCCAGAGCCCAAATGCCGGCTACTTTTCGATGGCGTGGAGTGAGCGGAGGACGAGGGGGCGAACCTGGTTCTTATCGCCAACTGGCCAGCAGAGCTTCCAAGCCCCCCTCCCCCCATCGAAAAGCCCCCCCCGTTTCGTCTCCCTGGGCACTTATCCACTGAAATTGCATTGCCAAATGCTTTTACTTTGTTTACTGCCCTGCAATTGTTGTTGGCAAGCAGCACTGAGGAAAATTTAATTATTCTTTTTTATTGAAAGTTACTTTAAATGAAATCTGAGGTGTTAAAAATATCTGTATATATTGTAAACCACTTTAAAAAGTAGTTAAGAGCTGTGACGGACTAGATTTTCTATAGTGGTTATCTTAATACCAATGTTGCTATGACTTGAGAAATTGTTTAATCATTTCTTTTCGATTTATGGATTCAAAATAAAGCATTGCATACTTTATACACTTTAAGCAGTGATTACAAACCTCTAGTGATAATTTATTGCGAGGATGAAGTATGATATTTATGCCAATAAGTAAATATTCCATGCATAATTTTAAAGTGATTTTTCTTTTTGTTATATTTTATATTTTAATGAAGTGACTTATTAGCATGACATTTGTAAATTTAACAATGGTCAACTGCATATCAAAAACGATGCTTTGTGCATAAAAATGTTAATTAATTTAGCTAAATGTCAATTGGATACCTGAATAAAGTATATCCATGGATTTCAATATACGTATATATTAGCAAGCATTTAATTAAGTTTTTTTTTTGGCTGTTATCCCAATGTGCAGCCCACTGTCTGCAACGATTTGTGCTTTTGTTTGTCCAATACACAAAAGGCCAGCGCTCACATATTCTCACACAGATACTCCGCACACTTGTGTCTGTGTGTGTGGAACCTTATTTTCCGCAAACGCATTGTGCTCGTATCAGAGAGTGTGTGTGTGTGTGTGTGTGTGCAAACACAAAGAATTCATAGAAGGCGCACTCATGTGCAACCCAACAAGGCAACAAAAGTCTCATTACTTTTACTTGGCAAATAATGAACCTAACAACAAAACAGCCAAACACACACACACACACCCACATACATGCACTTGCCAGCATATGTCGCTGCATATGTGTGTGTGTGTGTGTGTCAATTTGACAATTGACTTTGGCTCACTAACACACACATGCACACTTATGTGGCAGGATGCGAATTCACGCTTCATTCTTGAGGCCAGTAATTTGGATTTTGTGGTGTGTGGTATTCCCATAAGTATGTGTATGTATATATATGTCACGGACTCACTCTGATTTCTTCTATTTATAATTAAATAATATTTACACTAGAAACACAAAAATACTTTATATGTACTTAAAACACCATCATATTCATTATTAACTGTATAAAGTGTTTAAAAACTTACCTTTAAGACATGGGTCATATGTTTACTGACCAATAAAACGACCGTTAATATTGTTTTAGTTTCCTAAAATAACTATTAATTATTCCTTATAATTTAATTATCAATATACTGTAGTAAATGATTTTGTAACAATTTAATAAAATAACCAAAAATGCCCCTTCATCTGCACTTTAATATCTGATTTGATCTACAATGCCCAAATAACGGCAGAGTTTTATGTTGAAGTAATAAGAGATCAGTTGGAAATACAAAATAGTAAATTTCTTAAAGCTTGAAAATGCAAAAACCGTTGATAAAGATGGCCGCCAAAGAAATACATATTTTATAAAATAAGGACCGTTTCAAAGGTTCTCCCTTACCTTTACCCTTTTTGATAAATAACTTAAATGTTGTTTAATGGCGCCACACAGACATATGCACAATCATGTTGCCCAATCATGCTGGCACTCAGTTTAATTGGTTTTAAAGTTTCAACAAAAGTGAAGCTAGTTGGGTAGTGGGGGAGTTAGGTCCAAGGGGCAAACAATGGCATACGGAACTGCAGCGGAACAGATGTGTAACAGGTTGACCCACACAACCAAACTAACCACTCTATGCCAAAAAGACGCCCCAAATAAAAAAAACCCCACAATACACAAACCCTGAACAGAAATTAAAAAACAAAGACGAAACTCACCAACAGCGCGTCGCAAAGCTCTTGAAACTTTGGCAGGGGCGTGCGGAAAAGGGGGCTTCAGCTCAGTGGAGTTCGGTTCGGTCAGGCGGCTTTTGAGTGTTTTCCACCTGAGCACAAACTTAAGTGGCGAAACTTGATTAAAACCGCACACTCAGACACACACACACACAACCAGGGGCGTAGGGCGGGGTCCAAGCCAAAAACCCGGATCGGGCTAAAAGTTTCTGATACGTCTAAGGACAGGTCGGGGATTAAGTTGCGGTTATGCACTTCACCGATGCCTAAGTCAAAGTTGCACACATTTCATTGTACACTCATTCAAAAATTAAGGTCACTCAAGAAGGTGTTCAAAAGTTTGGATATTCAAAGAAAGTTATTAAATAAAAATATTAAAGCGTAAGTCATTACAGGCGATTCATGTCTATTCTTAAATTTACTATTTTCCTTCCTATTTTTCAATAAATAATTTTAGGAATCTCTCAAATATTGTACATATTTAAATAAAAAAAAAAAAAACATTAATTTAAATAGCAATTTCTGATTCAAATATTTTATTTTTTTTTCGTTTACAATTTCAATTATTTTAATGTAGAGAATTTTTAAAATAAGTTTTGCGTACCGAAGTGGGAAATTTATTTTTAATTTATTTTAATACATTGCTCCTCACCAACTTTTATCTTAACAAATCTTAAATTTCTTTTGTAAATACTTATACATCCGATTGTTTTTATTGTTGCCTTTATTTATTATATGTTTTTCACATGACATCCACCATTGTCTGTTACTAATAAAGTCGTTTATAAACTTTCCTTAGAAGGGCAGATCCAAAGCGTATTCCTGTTGCTGCCTCAGAAATTGATGAACTCCCGGATAGTCCACAAAGATGGGGGCGTACCGCTCAAATGGATCCTGGTCGGTATCGTAGAGGAATCCATTGTCGACTAGTGGCTTTTCATCTGGAACTGGGTGATTGTTCTTAAGTGGTGGCAAATAGGCATTTCCAGGCAATTCCGCCGAGAAACAACAGACTGCAACCAGCAGGATCAGGATCAGGATAAAAGATTGGTTCAACATCTTGGTAGCTCCGATTGATGGCTTCAACTGTTCTACAACTTGAAATGCAATTCGCTTTTATGGCCAAATTAGCAAGGCCAACTAGAGTGCACTATGAAAAATATGTGTATTCAAATATTAATATTATTACATTTTTTTTTGGCAGTTTTAAATTTTTTTTTTCATTTCCTAAAAGTGTTTTTTAAATCAACTATTATTGCATTTGAGGTAACCCAGCTACACTGATATGACAAAAGTGTAATCAATTAATGATTGCAACGATAAGTTATGAGGCTATCAAAAAAACCTATTTTTAATTTATAATTTTTATTCGGTAACGCATTTAAGAAGCAATTTAAATATTTTGTCATTTTTTATTTATGTTCTATATATTAAAAGCCAGTTTAAACATTTTCAAAAATCGCAATAATAAGGTTTTCTTTTCCAAATATCAAGGCAATTGCTTAAAGTGTACTCTTAACAATTCAATGAGACTCTGCCAGACCTTGGGCTGAAAATAAATTTTTGGCTGCTCATTAGATAATAATGTTATGCTGATCCTGATCTTCAGCGACGGGCCAAACCTTCGCTTCTGGCTCGTTATCTCGCATAAATTTCCCGATATTTCTATGCCACACACATGGGATACTGGTTTGTAGCTCTTATACTGAAATTTGTGGCAGCGAAAAACGAAGCTTCTACGACCGACTGTCGAATGTCGGATTTTTGGACGCATGCGCCTTGGGCCGACAAATATCTGACGAATTACAGCGTTTCCCGCCAAAGTCGCCGATGGAGGGCATCAGTTCATCCATCTGGCGCGGCTTTGTTTACCTTTGTTATCAGCTCTTATCACACGACCTCTCACCGGGTTTTTCGTGGGAGTGAAGTGGCCGCCCATTGGCTGTGGAAAACCCACTATATGGGCAAATGGTGTTATTCCCTCCTTCCTCCGCGTTTTTTGCCTTAACCGGCAATTAAATGCAATTAATTCGAGACAAGACGAGACGATGCAAACGTAAATGCAAATCTCTTCAAACACACAAAACTTGTGTGTGTCGAACGGCAAAATGAATGACAACGACAAGTTGGCTAAGCCCTAAAAGGCATAATTAAGAGTTAGTATTGCAGTAGCAACAACAGACTGAGATAACTGGTAACCGGTAAATGTTGAACAACAAAACAGGAAAGGATATTCCTAGCTGATGGAATAACGAATTTTAAATGTCCTTTTCCAGGGCAAAATGTAAATGTAAATCTATTTTTCCTCACAAAAAACGCAATCTTAAATTGATCTTAGAGCTGTATTGAATTCAAAAATGTTTTTGTTTTTAATTTAAATGGACAATAAACTATATTCTATGGTATATCTCAGATGGACCTGAATCCAATAAATAAATAACTTTTTTTTTTAATTTTAAATAAATATATAAAATACACAATTTTAAATTAATAAACATTTAAAGAAATGTACCCAATAAACAGATTTGTCTTAGTACCGAGTATGATGACAGTGGCGTATGACCTTAGATGTCAAACATTGAATGCTACATGCTGATAACATTTGTTGCTTGTTGGCACTTTTAGGATCTGAAGGGGTTAAGACGGGCGACGACCATGCCCACTTCTGATGTGGCCTGCAACACTTCCGGCATTTAAGCAAACAAAATATGTAGTAACTAGGAAAGCACACGGCTGCAACAAGCCAGAGCGCAATTTGTGTTCTATTTGGGGACCCGTGCCCTTCACCCCCTCTTCCCACCCCTTCTTACACCCCTTACACCCCCGATCAAAAACAAAATTCGGTCAAAATTATAGTATTGAAGTTAAAGCATGTCAAGCAAATCGTTTTGTGATTAATATTTATGTTTTTATTTTGAACTAATTTTGGGTGTTTAACCTATTAGTTAATCTGATAATCTGATAGTTTTTCAATTATTTATTCTCAATTTCTATATATTTTGTGTTTATCTCATTGAAATTATTTTTTCCTATTTCCTCCTTCCCTGTATTTGTTATTTATATAATAATAATTTATTAAAATGTTGCGTTTTTTTGTCAATAAGTTATAAGAACGCCATCACTGTTAATTATTTTAACATTTTGTAATGATTAATTTTGTTTTAAGTTCATTAGATCTTTTTATTTACTTATTAAATCTTATGTCATTCGATTTAATTTATTTAATTTATTATTTAATTTATTTAATGTATTACATTTTGCAATAAAGTGTTTAAGACATTTTTAGAGCTAGTATTTATACCGCTGGTGTATATCCTCCCCCTTTATTTTGGCACATGTGTAGACGAAAAATGCGGCCATGTAGGCTAATGAGTTCGTTCCATGTCGGACGTGTCTTGTTTATGTCCTTTTATTTTTTTTATACCTCCCACATACTGCTCCTGATTTTGTTGGCATATTGTTGTTGTTGTTGTTGCTCTTTATGTGCCGCTTAACGAGGACGTTCCATTGTCTTCTGACGGTCCAAACAAAAATGCCAGCGGCAGCGTCACAACTCGCTATCCATACGGAGATTCAAGAACCCAGATTGGAGAATGAAAATTTTAGACAACACAGAGCTGGTTAAAAACACATTCCAAATAAACTAAGTCCAAACTCAAAGAAATATTTATTTATCATTTGAAATGAATCACAAGGTAAGGTGTTCACAAACTTGGAATAAAGAATATATTTCAAATCCGGAAGTTTGAAGAATTCGTTTCGAAAAACGACTTTAATGTTCTACATACTTTTAGACAATGTTGTAGGTGGTTTTACGTCTTTACTTTTTCTTTAAATTTTAAATATTATATATTTCTTATAGAAATGCTTTGTTGACCAAATAGATTTTAATTTAATATAGTTATTTCATAACTCCAGCTGATACATTTATAGTGCAAAATTAAAGAACTTGGGATCAATAAAATTTTTTATTGTACTTTTTTTTTAATTTTAAAAAATTAGTTATTAAAAGTACGAGTAACTTAATTTTAAACATTAAATAATTTTGCAAAAAAAAATTTATTGGTTGTGCTAAAGAAATCACTAGGTCGTTGAAAAAAAAATGTAAAGGTGTCTAAATATATGCATTGAAAGATAAATGCTATTGGACTTCCAAAAATATATAATATGTACAGCATATAAGTGATTTCAAAAACCCAGTGATTTCTGTGGCACCTAACTAGTTATATCTATATCTCATTAGATAAAAGAGTACAATTTTCAATCGAAATCCACTACTCAAAAAGCCTCCTCAGCCATTTAAACCTCAAACTGAGCAACTCCAGAACAAAGGCAACCACAGCAGCGGATAGAAACAACGCATAAACTACGTACAGACCGCAGAAGGCATTCAACGGAATGGCCGTCACCTCGTAGTCATCCTCGTAGGGATCACTGTACAGGCTGCTATCGAACTCACGAACGAAATACCCAATAATGCCGGCCGAAAACAGTTGCTTGATCTTCCGATCAAAGGCGAATTTGAGCAGCGAATGACGCCGCAAGTAGATGACCAATTGATAGTTGAGGATGTGCTCCCTGATGTGGGTCAATCGGCTGGTGCTCCAGTGCCTCTGATTGTACGAGGACATCGTGGCCATTAGCGAGGTGGTCGTGAGTCTAGTCTCCTCAGCCGAACTCTGCATATAATCGAAGCGATCGCTGGATCCGTTCCGGGTCAGGACGGTCATGCTGTGGGGATAGTAGTCCAGATATTCCTGCGAAATCAGTGTGTAGTTGTCCCTGATCAACTCCGCTATTTGTGTGGGCACGGCCTTGGTGTAGGGCATGCGAAAGGAGTCGTATAGTTTGCCCTGGTAAACGACTCGCAGGACCAAAACCAAAAGCAGCCAGCCGGCGTAGAGTATGCGTATGCGGCCACTTCTGGACAGGCTCCTCGCCTCCAGGGGATTTCCCATCAGGGTGGTCAGCACCTGGAGGGCATTATAGGCCAAATCGGACTCCTCACCCTCGATTTTCTTTCGCAGCCACACGACCAGAACGACCAGGACTCCGGAGAGGATCAGGGCCAGCCAGACTGTCCCACAAAAGGGCACCGCCAACTGGGCCACTGCGCCGTATTGTTCGCTCATGTGCATAATGAAGACCAGCGAGCTCTGATGGTACGAGCACGTGAAGGAGAACTGCGACCGATGCTGATGCGATCCACTCATGGCCCCGATCAGTATCGAGGAATTGCTGTGTATCACCTGGTCGAAGCACCCACTGCAGGCATCCTTGATGTCCGGCGATAGGCACTTGTCGCACGGCTCCTCGAGCTGAATGCGAAAGCGAAAGATCTCGGCCAGCAGTTTGATGAGCTCTCCATCGATACCGGTTAGTCGCCAGATCTCCGCCCGTTCGGCCGGATCACTTGAGTTGCCATCGAAGGAGACGAACGGCGGCAGGGGATACCAGCTGACCTGCAGTGGACATCCCGAAAGACTGCTGAGGGCCCGATCGAAGGACCTGGCCCAACGATCCTCCCGAAACGAACCATTCACATAGCGATCCACGAACTCCAAAGTGACACTCTGATCGCAGTGTTTGTTGTACAAGCAGTACGTGTAGATCCGAACCACGCCATACCTCGTTTGCGTGAGCAACAGGACATTCAGAGTGTGGAAACGCACACAGGTCTTGGCTATATCCCTGAGCATCTGGTGTCGCCCGGCTCGCGAGGACATGCGACGCGTGAGCAGGATCAGAAAGTTATATTCCCGCGTCGAGTGCATATCGGTGAAGTTGAAGCTCAATGTGTTGAAGGCCTGGGCGGAATTGACCAGGAAAACCACATAGCATGCGGGCACTTCGGCTGGTGGCTGCTGAAATGTCCGCACTGCCATCGAATCGCCAACCTCCTTGATGATCATGGTCATCAGCTCCTCCTGCACGTGATCCCGATGCTCGTCCTCCGGCGTCAATTCAATTACGGCCAATGTGATCTGCGAGGGGCTAACCTGCTCGTCCAGAATTTCCAGGGCTGCCGCAACCAGGGGTGCCATCACTTCCGGTTCCGGCGGATGAACTGCACCCATTGCCAGACACCGAAGTGCCATCAAAAGCCACAGATACTGAAACATTTGCCCGCCGTTGCTGTTGCAAGTTGACGAACAAATGCGCTGGCTAATTTCCCTAATGGTAAACTTTTCAGTTCAACTCAATCGCCGATAAGCGGCCTTTCATCAATACCGAATTAGCCATTCTGAACCCGATCTAATCCTTTGCTGCCAGTGGATCCAATTAGCTTAATGTTACCAGATATTATGAAACTATTCAAATTATTGGTTTGAATAATGAAGAAGCTAATGCATTAAGAAAAAATTTGCATTACTAGAAAAAATTTGCTGAACAAAATGCGTTTTAGGGTATGCGCATTGGCTTTAAATTTAATCACTAATACGCAGTGTTGGTTTTTTTTTTGAATATATATTTTCATAGTTGCATTCTTTTTTCAGCGAGATCAATTAATAATTACTCAACACGGTTGAGGAGTGGGATTTTTTTGTACAATATTTGAGATGGCTAAAGTGTCGAATGAGTAATTATTATGGAAACTTTGAGACCAAAAACTTGAACTACAATTCTTTGGTTTTTGGAAAGTTTTTTGTTGTCTACCAAAAACTACTATACTTAATGCTGAGAGTTTGGATTTTTTTTGTTCCACCCTAATGTAAACCCAGAAAACATAATTCCCTAAATTTTGAAAATATTAATACATTTAGGAATAATTACTTAAACATGGCCTACAATATATACTTAGAAAAGAATCCCTTAAAAATGCACTAAGTCTTAATGTTCAATATTTGTAAACTTAAATGGTCGGCTCATCTTAAAGGACATGTTTAATCCATAGTTTCAAAACATAAGGATGTTTTCCTAAAACTAAGAAATTTCGGTCCTTTGGAGTGGAGTGCATTTTATAAATATTTCTTTTAATTTTTTTTTTAGAAATAACTACCATATCAAGCACTTGAACTCATACACTTATCCATGCAAAACAAGAAAAAAAAAGGAAATGCTGGCAATCAAGCAGCAATCATCACAAGAGTGGCCGCAATCCCGAGAGCAGTGTAAAACGCAAAGAGCCAATTCAACTTTTTTGCCACATCTGTGGGGCTTTCGTGAGATCCAAGGATAAGATGGGGGTATTCCCCAGCCTAGGCGCCCCGTTTTTATTTATCTTTGTGGAAAGTAAAACCCCCCCTCTCGTCAACGAGAATGCAAGGCACCAATGCAGCATACATATCTCTGCGGCTTGTTAGTCCAAGCGAAAGGAGGCGCTGCCACGCCCTCCTTTACCCCCACTTCACGCCCATCTGGCGCGCATAAAAATTAAAAATTTCATTAAATTCACAAAAATGCTTGAAGTGGAAAAATGTAATATCCTTTGGGCACAAAGGATGTGCATATAAATGCAAATGCGGTACTGTTGCCCGGGTAAAAACGAAGCGATATGTCCGAAACGCCCACTCGACGCCGCTGCCACGCCCCCACTGCTGCCGCAGCAGCTGCATGCATGAATGCACACTGAATACACTGAGAGAAAATGGGACATTTTTGTCATGCAACTTTGCCGTTTAAAATATGCATTTTTTATAACTACATTCGATGCATAATAAAATGTAAGTGCACTAAATAATAGAATATTTTTAAAAACTTGAAATTTTTTTTTAATTTGTTATATTCTATGCTAGGATTCTACACTTCATTTAAAATGTTTTTTTTTCATATTTTTTTCTTCTTTAATAATGCTTGATTTTGCTTTTATATTTGTTTCTTACACATGTTTTTGTTTATAACTGTTGGATCCTTACATAAGATTAAATTTTGATATATAAATTCTAGTTTTCTTATCAAATAATGTTTTCTTCTGTTGATATGTTTTGCCCCAGTGCCTTTGAGATCCAGGCAGCTTTTACACATGCATTTCCCGCTCGCTTATCTACGAATGTTCCCCTTTCACCGCCCCCCACCCTGCCACGTCCCTGCCCACAACCTTTGTTTGCAATTAGTGGGCGACTTTCATAAACAAAGCGATAAAGAATTGGGGAAAAGGGGAAAAGGATATGGGATGCAAAACGATATTTAAGAAAATCCCGGAGAGCAGAGTCCTTCTGGGAAGTAACATGACTCCAGTGACTCTCGAGGAAAAACTTTGCAGCATTTCATTTGCCTAATAAGACGTCATCAGATTGGGCCAATCGAGGCGAAAGTGTGGAGTATGTGGCCGAAGAAAGCGGTGAAAACTGAAGGAGAGAGAAAGGAGCAAAGAGCAAAGAGCGTGGAACATATGCCAGGCAAGCGACAAAAGTTCGAAAATTAAAAGTTTTCCGAAAAGTATGCAAAAGTCACTGAAGTGGGTGGAAAATGGGAAATGGAAAATGAGTGGAGATGGTGGTGAAGTAGCAGCGGAAAACTGCATATGTTTGTGAGCATGTTTTGTGAACTGTAATTATGATGCTTGTTAGCAGTTATTCCCCATTTTCCTGTCTCATTTTCACAGTGAAATTTGGAAAGCCTCTTAACAAATATTTTTCTTTAATACCATTTCGATAGAAATATATTTAAATTTTATTTAATATTTTGTTTTATATAACATTAAATTAAATAAAAAGCAATATGTTCTTTTTTTTATTTTTCCATAATAAATATTTATTATTCCGACCCAACCACCAACCAATCCCGATCATTGAAACAATTAAATTACTGGCCAAGGGCAAAAAACAAGACAAAACACCCTTTTGCTCCACCCCCTTTTTGTACACCGCCCCTGCGGGTTTGCTTCTTAAGTTTTGCGAAAGTTCAAGCTTGGGCTGCGCATAAATTAAAAATGACAAGGATATGCCAAGACGAGTGGGAGGATTGGCATCGTGTAACCGAGCAGGCAACAAGTTGCAACTTAACGTTGCCCACATCTTGCCGAAGTCCACCCCTCACACCTGAAACCCCTAAAACCCCTTTTATGGCATATGAAACATGAGCATCCCCGCCCCTGAGAAATTCTACAAATTCAGCGAAAAGTATTTTCCACCTTTAAACGTGGAATGAAGGTGAGGCTGGAAAAAAAGAGGGAAATGATTTATGAATGCAAAAACTTTTCGGACCAACTTTGTACGGCCGTTTTGCCATTGTGTGTGTGTGGGTGTGTGTGAGTGTGAGTGGGGAAAATCCTCATGTTACACATGTGTAAGGGAAGGGAATAGTGAGGGAAAAAGAGAGGGCGAGAGAGAGGGAGACAGAGGCAGGACTGTCCGCTTAATGGAATTATAAAAATGTTAACTTCAGCAGAAATTCAAACAGCGCCATACTCTGTTTGTCCCCTTCAAAGCCCCAATTCCCCTCCCCTTTTTCGGCCCTTCCTCAAGCCTTCCCAACCCCTTCTTAAATCCATTCCACTCACTTCCATGTGTTCGACATGTGTGGGCAACTAACCTTTTTTCTCCTTGCCTCATACGAATTCAGTTATAATTTTGTTTAACATTTAAAGTGGCTTTGTTTGTAAACTTAACAAAAAACTTAAAGAAAAAAAATGTTGCACTGCAAACGATTGAAAATATTTGTATAGACACGAAATTAAAAACAAAGCAAAATGGGGGGTACTATTGAAAATAAAAAAGAAACCCAAAAGATGTGGTAAAATTTCAACGTCAGTAGCAGACGGCCTTTGGTTAGCCAGCTGATATTTCAGATATATATATATATATAAATCTGAAATGAGATATATATGGATAGATGAGCAGACATATGGGTATTTGTGGCCAGGGCAATCCAATATACTCTTCAAAGCAAACACGAACACAACTTGAGGCTGCCACAAGGCCAAAAAGAAGACGGCAAGGGCTGACACTTGAACCCACAGCCGGGAAAACACCACCCACAGAAGCACCCACCCTGCCCACCCCCTGCAACAGCAGCAGTCAGCCAATTTCAAGCCAAGTCCTGAAAACGGACCAACTTGTAGTCCTGCAGCTGCACTGGGGAATAAAGGCTATGCTTAAATGCTTATTAAATCCAAGCTTCAGCATGCGCAAAGATCATGTATTTATTTTTAATTTCTAAGTACTAATACTAAGAAAAATAGTATGAATTTATTACCTTTAAGGATACTCTACCAAGACTTTTAAAATTAATTATACAACAATATCCAAACTGCAGCTTATCCTCATATTTAAATTCCATATGAATTTAATAAATAAAATCAAATGTATTTCAAGATAAACGCAATTTATTGTAATATAGGGTTTTAAAAACGTATATTTGTTATACAAGTAGAATGAATATATAAATTATATAACAAATATTTATTTTAGATTAAAAAAAAACTCGGTATTATAATACAATCATAATGAATATACATAAAAAACAAATTAAGTAATTCTTAGTACAACAATTTAATTCAAATTAAAAGTTAAATATTTTTGGGTCTTCAGATGCAGAAGAACATAACTGGAAAAATGAATTACCTAGATGGAGGACTATTTTTCTCAGTGCAGCTCCCGCTGCCACTGCTGATGATGTGTCTTATCTTGTCCTGCAGTGGCTGAGCGATGCCAGCGCATCCTGGAAGCTTTTTATCTTGGCGTCATGTTGATGTTTGTCGGAAACTTGATTATTTTCATCTCGCTTTTTTCGCCAACACACACATGTCGAGGAATCGCCGGCCCATGTTGCTCCCACTCGGAAGATGTTTTGGATGCTGGGCCCGCGGCAGACAAACACAGGAAAGGAGCAGACTGGGATTAGCTCCCAACCGCCCAACCGAGCAACCAAAAAATATACGTTTGTGGCCAAAAGTTCAAAATAAAGAGTTTCGGCTCGATGTAAATGCAGCTTTAACTCGAAACGTGGGGCCGCAAGGACTCCGTTACAGGTTGTGCTCCTTTTTTATTCCTATATATTCGTTGCTGCCGTTGTTGTTGACAAACAAGGAGCGCATAAGTAGAATAAGTTGTAATAAGAGCAGTTAACAACATGAGTGAAGTCAAGGCGAGCGCACAGCGGGCAGAAAGCCAAGACACCTGAACGTCACGGCACGAACGTGGCCACAGTGGATACACCTGATGGAGAACCAGCTCATTAA